ATGACATGCAAATGATGCCGTCGATCTTAGAATCACCGCACACTTCACTCATTTGGGCAGTCACGGGGCCTGAAAAACCAGAGTGTGGAGCCACAGTGTGGCGGTGGAAGGCAGCAGCAATGGGAGGCCATACAGGGACCCATGACACACTCTGGACCTGGCAGCAGCAATGGGAGGCCATACAGGGACCCATGACACACTCTGGACCTGGCAGCAGCATGAGGAGGCGGTACTGGGGCCCATGGCAGAGTGGAGAAGAAAAGAAGAAGAAAAGAAGAAGAAGAAGAAGAAGAAGAAGAAGAAGATGAAGATGAAGAAGAAGAAGAAGAAAGAAGATGAGGAAGAAGAAGAAGAAGTGAGGATGAAGAAGAAGAAGAAGAAGAAGATGAGGATGAAGAAGAAGAAGAAATGAAGATGAGGGAAGAAGAAGAAGAAGACGAAGATGAGGATGAAGAAGAAGATGAGGAAGAAGAAGAAGATGAGGATGAAGAAGAAGAAGAAGAGGAGGATGAGGATGGTGATGAAAAGAAGAAGAAGAAGAAGAAGATGAGGATGAAGAAGAAGAAGAAGAAGAGGAGGTCATTGATGAGAGAAGAAGAAGAAGAAGATGGAGGAAGAAGAAGAAGAAAAGAAGAAAAAGAATGAGGATGAAAAGAAGAAGAAGACGAGGATGAGGATGAAGAAGAAGAAAGAAGAAGAATGATGAGGATGAAGAAGAAGAAGAAGAAGAAGAAGAAGAGGAGATGAGGATGAAGAAGATAAGAAGAAGATATGAAGATGAAGAAGAAGAAGAAGAAGATGAAGAAGGAAGATGAAGAAGAAGAAGAAAAGAAGATGAAGAAGAAGAAGAAGAAGAGGATGAAGAAGAAGAAGATGAAGATGAAGAAGAAGAAGAAGAAGAAGATGAAGAAGAGAAGAAGAAGAAGAGAGAAGACGAAGAAGATGAAGAGAAGAAGAAGAGAAGAAGAAGAAGATGAAGAAGAAGATGAAGGAAGAAGAAGAAGACGAAAGAGAGAAAGAAGAAGAAGAAGAAGAAAGAAGAAGAAGAAGAAGAATGAGATTAAAAAGATAAGAGGAAGAAGATGAAGATGGAGGATGAAGAAGAAGATGAAGGAGAAGAAGAAGAAGAGAAAGATGAAGGATGAAAGAAGAAGAAGGGAGGAGGATGAGGATAGATGAAGAAGAAGGAAGAAGAAGAAGAAGAAGAAGAAGAAGATGATGAGGATGAAGAAGAAGAAGAAGGAGAAGAAGAAGAAAGATAAGATGAAGAAGAAGAAGAGAAGAGGAAGAAGAAGATGAAGAAGAAGAAGAAGACGAAGAAGATGAAAGAAGAAGAAGAAGAATGAGGATGAAGAAGAAGATGAGGAAGAAGAAGAAGAAGAAGAAGAAGATGAGGATGAAGAAGAAGAGGAGATGAGGGATGAGGAGGAAGAAAGAAGAAGAAGAAGAAGAAGGATGAGATTTGGGATGAATGAAGAGAAGAAGAAGAAGAAGAGGAGGATGAGGATGAAGATGAAAGAAGAAGAAGATGAGGATGAGAAGAAGAAGAAGAAAAGAAAAAGATGAGAGAAGAAGAAGAGGAAGAAGAGGAGGATGAGGATGAAGAAGAAGAAGAAGAAGAAGATGAAGAAGAAGAAGAAGAAGAAGAAGAAGAAGATGAGGATGAAGAAGAAGAAGAAGAAGAAGAAGAAGAAGAGGACGGATGGAGGATGAAGAAGAAGAAGAAGAAGAAGAAGAAGAAGGATGAAGAAGAAGTTGAAGAAGAAGAAGAAGAAGAAGAAGAAGAAGAAGAGAAGAAGATGAAGAAGAAGAAGAAGAGGATGAAGAAGAGAATGAAGTTGATGAAAAAGAAGAAGAAGAAGAAGACGAAGAAGATGAAGAAGAAGAGAATGAAGAAGAAGAAGAATATAGAGATGAGGATTGAAGAAGAAGAAGGTGAGGGATGATGAAAGAAGAAGAAGAAGAAAATGAGGATGAAGAAGAAGAAGAAAGAAGATGAGGATGAAGAAGAAGAAGATGAGGATGAAGAAGAAGAAGTTGAGGAGGAGTGAAGAAGATGAGGATGAAGAAGAAGAAGAAGAAGAAGAAGAAGAAGATGAGGAGAAAGAAGAAGAAGAAGAAGAAGAAGAAGAGGAAGAAGAAGAAGAGGAGAAGAAGAAAGAAGAAGAGGCTGAAGAGGAAGAAGAAGAAGAAGATGAGGAAGAAGAAAGAAGAAGAAGAAGAGAAGAAGAAGAAGAAGTAGAAGAAGATGAGGATGAAGAAGAAGAGAAGAAGAAGAAGAGAAGAAGTAGGATGAAAATAAGAATAATTCCAGTCCAGCAAAAAGTGTATCTGCAGAGAGATCCGCTATTTCTGACAGTTCTCTGACAGTTCCTTCACTATTTACAGCGGTTTGAAACATTTGTATCTATTTGTTTCCGAATAAAAACATCTGTATCCTAAATGGAAACAAATACATACAATGTTTCAAACCGCTGTAAATGTGAAGGAACTGTCAGAGAACTGTCAGAAATAGCGGAGCTCTCTGCAGGACATTTTTTCACAGCCGGCTGTAGAAGGGATGAAAAGCGGCCGATCGGGGAAAATTCGATTCGTGCATCCGAAGTTTGCTAAAATTCGGATTCGGCGCAAATCAAATTTTTCCTAATATTCTAAACGAATTCCACTTCGCCAAGTTCGATTCGCTCATCTCTAATCTTTACCAGTGTCACCAGTACAGTCAGCAACACCTGTACCAGTGTCACCAGTATAGCCAGCAAAAACATCTTTACCAGTGTCACCAGTGCAACCAATAGCACCTGTACCAATTTCACCAGTACAGCCAGAAACGTATTTACCAGTGTCAGCAGTGAAGCCAACTGATGTACCAGTTTCATCAGTGCAGTCAGCAACATCTGTATTCCCATCTGTGTTCCCAATGCAGCCTACAACACCTGTACCTGATCGCCTTCTCACCAGTATCTGATCACCATCACACCAGTAACGGTGTCACCGTAGCCAGCGTCGTAACCTGATCGCCAGTCAGAACCTGTCCTGAATACCATGTCATAAATAAAGGCTCACGAGTGAGAATGCCTTTCGTGTTTCTGGCTGTACTGTATGTATGAGGGCCACCAGGTACACATATGACTTTTGCATTTATGAAGTAAAATATGGCCTCCTGGAGCCCCCTGGATGCCCAACGTATATGGGTAGCAGTGGAAAAATAGTGTGGGACCTTACATCATCCTTGTTCTATCAGGGAAACCATCTCTATGTGAGAAAATGTTAAACCGGCCTGCCACATTTCTAACACCTGACATATTGGTAGCTTATGGTACAGTGTGACCAGATCACAAGGGCTTTCCATAAAGACTGGTCACCAAGAGGCTAAAATGGGAGGAGTCAGAAAGTTTGCAGAATGAAGAAACTTTGGTCCTTAAATGGAAGGATAGGTGAGATATCTATACTATATTGCCAAAAGTATTGGTCAGCCTGCCTTTACACACACATGGATTTAATGGCATCTTGTCTTAGTCCGTAGGGTTCAATATTGAGTTGGCCCCGCCCTTTTGCAGCTATAACATCTTCAGCTCTTCTGGGAAGGCTGTCCACAAGGTTTAGGAGGGTGTCTATGGGAAGGTTTGACCATTCTTCCAGAAGCGCATTTTGTGAGGTCAGGCACTGATGTCAGACGAGAAGGTCTGGCTGGCTTGCAGTCTCCACTCTAATTCATCCCAAAAGTGCTCTATTGGGTTGAGGTCAGAACTCTGTACAGGCCAGTCAAGTTCCTCCACCCCAAACTGGCTCCTCCATGTCTTTATGGACCTTGCTTTGTGCAGTGGTATGCAATCATGTTGGAACAGGAAGGGGCCATCCCCAAACTCTTCCCACAAAGTTGGGAGCATGAAATTGCCCAAAATGTCTTGGTATGCTGACGCTTTTAAGAGTTCTCTTTACTGGAACTAAGGGGCCAAACCCAACCCCTGAAAAACACACCCTACATCATAATCCCCCCTCCACCAAACTTTACACTTGGCACAATGCAATCAGTCAAGTACCATTCTCCTGGCAACCGCCAAACCCAGACACATCCATTGGATTGTCAGACAGACAAGCGTGATTCATCACTCCAGAGAATATGTCTCCACTCTTCTAGAGTCCAGTGGCAACATGCCAGGTACACATACAGGTATGCCTTTTGCATTTATGAAGTAAAAGACAGCTGCCTGGAGCCCCATGATGCCCAATTTTATATGGGTATCAGTGGAAAAATAGTGTGGGACCTTACATCGCCCATGTTCTATCAGGGAAACTACCTCTATATGATAACATTTTATATCAGCCTGCCACGTTTCTGATACCTGACATATCGGCCTTAAATGGAAGGATAGGTGGGATGTCTATGTCCTTTCTTCCATCCAAGAAGACACCTCAGTGCTCAGTCCGGTGCAAAAATCTCAGTGCGTACACACATACAATCTAAACATCAGAGGTGTAGATTTAAATGACCAATTGATGAAACCCATCACTGACCCATCTTCACATCCCAATGACTATGTTCCTGAGAAACACCAGTTTCATCCATCCTCTGCAGACAACTGCACTACTGGAACTACAGGTAAACTGCACTACTGGAACCACAGGTACTCTTTTGTTTACCCTTTGTTTAGCCTCCTGTACTTCCTGACCAGTGAACATAGCATTTTTGCTATGGGGCAGCCATGTACCAATAGATCAGGCCTACTTCACTTTTAGGAACAGGGATTGCTGTAGGTGAAGCTACACTATGCTGTCTTCCCTGACCACTAATATAGAGATGATCATTACAGTACATTCTTTTCTGTACAGTGTTAGTTGGTTTTTGTGATACACAAGATGCCATTTTGACTACATAATCAGTCCAAGCATTGAAAAAGTCTTACACATGTGGAATCTCCATACCTGGGAGGAGTAATAGAATGGGTTTTTGGGATGTAACTCTAAGTATTTCCATGCCGTGTATTAGAAATATCTTATTAACCTCCTTGGCGGTATTCCCGAGTGTAGCTCGGGGTAACATTTCAGTACCAAAAGCGGTAACCCCGAGCTACACTCGGGCTTACCCTGCGGCACTGCTCCGGCATGTGTTCTTCACTTACCTTACCCTGCGCTCCCACGATGTGTCCCCTGCAGCGTCCCCGGCCATCTCCTCCGGCCGATGCCGGCATCCAGCTTCTGTGTCCTGTCCCTGTGACGTCGGGACGTACGGGCGCCGCAGCCGCCGGCGGCGGGAAATTTAAAAATTTTAAAAAATGTCATTTTTTTTTTTTACATTTTACATAGTAAAACATTGCTGTCTCAACCAATTTCACATACATATTGTCCCTAGTGCTTTGTCCTGTGCCCTGCCTGCATTTTTGTCTGTTCTTTCTGCCTGGAAACTGAGAAACGTCCATGGCGTCCAAAAAGTGTCCCTTTAGGTCAAAAGCGGTTTAGATCAGCTAGAGAACAGCGATAGTAAATCAGAACCACTTGCAGAATTGAGTGATAATGATTTGTGTGGGAAATTCGTCATCAGACACTGAAAACGATTTTGCGACTGAGCTCAGCAATGTGCGAACTTGGCGCTATATTTCACATTTCAGTGTTTTTGGTTTGATTATATTATTGAATTAAATTTTTTATTATTTTTATATTATTTTTATGATTATTTATTAAATTATAATTTATGATTTTGTGTTTCAAATTTTATCATACCCGGGATGTTTACTAGACTCTTGTTCGGACAGATTTCAGTGAGTTTTTCCTAAAAATTACAGCCTACAATAAAAAAAATACATATTTCCATGCAAAAAAATGGTACCCCCGCTTTCAGCACCAAAAATCTGAAATAATCATACCGCCAGGGAGGTTAATCAACAACTTTGTGTAAAAAAATATATATATTTTCATTCTCTTTCCACATTTTTCAAAAACTTGTAATAAAAAAATAACATTTCCAAAAGCCTTACTACACATTTTAAAAATATGACAGGATGTTTACTTTTCAAATATGGCTATTTTGTGGGTGTTTTTACTGTCCCGGTACTCCAAGGCCTTCAAAAATGTAATATGTAGTCAGGAAATTACATGTGTAATATATGCCCCAAGAAAGCCTGGAGGTGCTCGTTAGATTTTGGGCCTCTCTATGTGGCTAGACTGTTAAAAAGTCTCACACATGTAGTATTCCCATACTTGGGAATAGTAGAAGAATGTATTTTAGGGTGTAATTCTATATATGCCTATGCTGTGTGTTAGAAGCTTCCTACTAATTGACAACTTTGTGTAAAAAAAAAAAAATAATAATTTTCATTTTATTTTGTCATTTTCAAAAAACATGTAGCAAAAAATGATATGTTCAAAAGAATCATTATATCTCTTATAAAATACCTTGCTGTGTTTGCTTTCTACAATGTGGTCATTATGTAGGTGTTTCCATTGTCCTTGTGCTAAGTAGTAATAACGGGCCGAACACTCCCCTGTTCAGTTTGTGGTCGAACATCCGAACCTACAGAATGTTCGACCGCGAACTTCGAACATGAACCGAACAATACCCTGAGCAGTATCTTACCGCATCTGAGTATGTAGTAAGATAACGCTCAGTTACTGAAATACAGCATGAATTATATTACGAAGTCAGGTGGTATTTTAGTAGTGAGACATTCATTCATGTTCCAGCTGTCAGTGGGGTTCCTCGCTGACAGCTGAATGTCAAATGAATTGTTGGGATTTCCTGATAATTAAAAAAAATATTAAAAAACTGGTGTGGGGTCCCCCCACCCATCCATACCAAGCCCTTTTTTAAAAATGGCGTAGGTGCCCACCCAAAATCTAAACCAGACCCTTTTCCGAGCATGCAGCCCAGCAGGTCAGGAAAGCGGCGGACGAGTGAGCGCTGATCCATACCAGGCCACATTCCCTCAACATGGGGGGTGCTTTGGGGTGGGGGGCTCCCCCCCAAAGCACCTTGACCCATGTTGATGGGAACAAGGGTCTCTTCCCCACAACCATGCCCTGTGGTTGTGGGGGTCTGTGGACGGGTACCTTATTGAAAACAGGGAACCTCCTTTAACAAGGGGGCCCCAAGATCCCACCCTCCCCATTGTGGATGACCATGCAGTACATGGTACCGCTGCCTATTCACAAAAAGAAAAATGTAGAGTAAAAAAAGACAGGAGAAAGTCTTTGACAAGTCCTTTATTAAAAAAATAAAAATTAAAAAGGTCCCCCGAAGTAGATCCAACGTGGTCAGGTGCATTGCTTTGTCCAATCACAGTGCACTGTCAGGGAGCAGTGCATTGTGTGGGGGGTGTGGTGGGCGAACAGCCCGCTGAACACCCTTACCATGTGTGTGTTCAGTGAACACACGAACGACCCATGTTCGAGTCGAACTTGTGTTCGACTTGAACATACAGCCTATCCCTACCAGGTACATTAATTATGCCTCTAAAAAATCTGAAAGTGCTGATTGGATTTTGGGACTCAATAAGTGGTTAGGCTGTGAAAAAGTCCCACACATGTGGTATCCCATAATTGGGAACAATAACAGAATGTTTTCTTTGGGGGGGGGGGGGGTTATACTGTGTGTGAGGATTAGCTTGTTAATGACAACTTTGTGAGAAAAATACAAGTTGTTAAATTTCTTGATTTTCCAATATATTGTGGCAAAAATTAAAACTTAAAAAAAAATCAGCATGCCTTTTACTAAATACCTCAGACTGTCTACTTTCCAAAATGGGGGTATTTGTACTTTTCTAGCATTTTGGGGCCTCCAGAAATGATAGGCAGTCAGATAATCAATTTTGATCAATTTTCGAATACACTGTATATACTGTATGTATGATAGTTTGTAGACTCTACAGCTGTGCACTGATTTCACCAGAGAAATGGAGCAGAATACATTTGTGAAGCAAGATTATTTATTTACAAAGTTGTCTAAGAGAAACTAAGAAAAATGCTTCTCTTCCAAAATGTTCCCTTTATTTAGCAAAAAAATAAAAAAACACCGGTGATAAAATGCCACCAAAAGAAAGCTCCATCTGTCTCAAAAAATAAAAAAAAATAATAATTTGGACACAGTGTTACGTGAGTAACTATCAAAGTGTGACTATACTGAAATCTGAAACATAACCTGGGCAGGACGGGGGTGAAACAGTCCCATCTTCAAGTGGTTAATCAGGGACAATAAGGCTGAATGATGTGCCTAAGGCTGGCCATACACTATACAAGTTTCTGCCCAATTTCTCTTAGATTTAAGTTCAACTATGTAGTGCAAGAGCCCGCCTAATTGGATACAATTGAAAGTGTTATTAGTTTTGACCTCCTATTATATGGTTTTTGGTAAATCTAAACCAAAAATCTCAAGAAAATTGTATAATGTATGGCCAGCCTTAATGTCATCATTAGAGATGAGCGAATCGAAGTAGGCGAAGTGGAATTCGTTTTGAATATTGGAAAATTTTCGATTCGCGCCGAATCCGAAAAATAGCCTACTTCGGACGCGCAAATCAAAATTTTTCCTAAAATGGCGGCGACATGTGCGGCGACGGAGCGGGGATGTCTGGGAAGGCGCGCAGACAAGGCGCGCTGACCCATAATGCATTCATTAATGACATGTGATCGCATTAGCCAATCAGCAGCCAGCCAGCCAGCACTGTGTAATGGTTGAGCTATAAATAGCGGCCATTTTAGAATTCTTCATTTGCCTCCAGTCATTCAAGAGAGGCAGACCGCTCTGTATTAGGGACAGAGTTAGGGCCACAGAAACGTTACTTGGGGACAGAGAAACGTTACTTAGGGACAGAGAAGCATTACTCAGGGACACAGAATTGTTACTGAGGGCCACAGAATCGTTACTTAGGGCCAAAGAAACGCTAGTTAGGGCCACAGAATTGTTACTCAGGGACAGACAGAATTGTTACTGAGTGCCAGAGAATTGTTACTTAGAGCCACAGAAACGTTAGTTAGGGCCACAGAATTGTTACTCAGGGACAGACACAGAATTGTTACTGAGGGCTTCAGAACTGTTACTTAGGGCCACAGAAACGTTAGTTAGGGCCACAGAATTGTTACTCAGGGACAGACACAGAATTGTTACTGAGGGCCACAGAATTGTTACTTAGGGCCACAGAAACGTTACTCAGGGACACAGAACTGTTACTTAGGGCCACAGAAACGTTAGTTAGGGCCACAGAATTGTTATTTAGGGACAGACACAGAATTGTTACTGAGGGCAACAACAGAACTGTTACTTAGGGCCACAGAAACGTTAGTTAGGGCCACAGAATTGTTACTCAGGGACAGACAGAATTGTTACTGAGGGCCACAGAATTGTTACTTAGGGCCACAGAAACGTTACTCAGGGACACAGAATTGTTACTGAGGGCCACAGAACTGTTACTTAGGGCCACAGAAACGTTAGTTAGGGCCACAGAATTGTTACTCAGGGACAGACACAGAATAGTTACTCAGGGACACAGAATTGTTACTGAGGGCCACAGAACCGTTACTTAGGGCCACATAATTGTTACTCAGGGACACAAATTGTTACTGAGGGCCACAGAACCGTTACTTAAGGCCACAGAATTGTTACTCAGGGACAGACACAGAATTGTTACTGAGGGCCACAGAATTGTTACTTAGGGCCACAGAAATGTTACTCAGGGACACAGAACTGTTACTTAGGGCCACAGAAACGTTAGTTAGGGCCACAGAATTGTTACTCAGGGACAGACACAGAATTGTTACTGAGGGCCACAGAACTGTTACTTAGGGCCACAGAAACGTTAGTTAGGGCCACAGAATTGTTACTCAGGGACAGACACAGAATTGTTACTGAGGGCCACAGAATTGTTACTTAGGGCCACAGAAACGTTACTCAGGGACACAGAATTGTTACTGAGGGCCACAGAACTGTTACTTAGGGCCACAGAAACTTTAGTTAGGGCCACAGAATTGTTACTCAGGGACAGACACAGAATTGTTACTCAGGGACACACAGAATTGTTACTGAGGGCCACAGAACCGTTACTTAGGGCCACAGAATTGTTACTCAGGGACACAGAATTGTTACTGAGGGCCACAGAACCGTTACTTAGGCCACAGAATTGTTACTCAGGGACAAACACAGAATTGTTACTGAGGGACACAGAATTGTTACTGAGGGCCACAGAACGTTACTTAGGGCCACAGAATTGTTACTCAGGGACACAGAATTGTTACTGAGGGCCACAGAACCGTTACTTAGGGCCACAGAATTGTTACTCAGGGACAGACACAGAATTGTTACTGAGGGCCACAGAACTGTTACTTAGGGCCACACAATTGTTACTCAGGGACA